AACTTATATTCATAGATCCTGTCTAAGGTAGAAATCTTTTAAAATCATAATTCAGTTTTGAATATTTTTAATATCCCGAAGAACCAAAATGAATTTGAACTATATATTTACTAGTATATTGGATTCCGAAACTTCATAAGAATCCTTACAAACAAAGATACTTTGCGGGTTCCAGTAAATGTTCAACCAAGCCTCTTTCTTTACTCCTCACTAAGATATTGACAGTAGTGAAGGAAAAACTTCAAGAGCACTGTGCAACAATATATTCAAGAAGTGGTGTGAATCAGACGTGGATACTCAAAAATTCCAAAGAACTTATAGACAGTTTGAAATCAAAAGATATTACCAAAATCAACAGCTTAAAAACTTACGACTTTTCAACTTTATACACAACAATTCCCCACGATAAATTAAAGTCCAGGCTTTTTGGTATCATTGACAGCTGCTTTTTCAATAAAAATGGAACTCGTATAGAAGATGGGGGGATAAGGCGGGTAGAATGCCGTTAAAGGTACTTGGACACAGATTTGAAGTCAGTATTTTCTCTATAATATTACGACTTATATATTTTAATATATTTTAATCCTTAGGAAAAGTGGCGATCTTGTTGTGTATTAATGAGAAATATTAAAACTTTTATCGAGAAAAATAATTTTATTCAGAGTAGAAATGTTAGAAAGCAAAACTCCTTCACAAGTATCGTCATTCCGAACTAAGAGTTGCGTACAGAGTTTAGCAAATCGAGCAACTCGTGTTATGTACACAATTTTTGTAAACAGGGCACGATTTCTGTTATTGTTGATGTTTATAATTCACCGGGTGCGTTCAATTGTCACAGTCTGCTTACCACAACTGCACGGACTGACAATATATTGCGTGTTTGTTTTGCTTTCGAACATGTCTACTCTGAATATTCTGGATTATAGTATTAATATTTTTCATTTATACACAACGAGATTGCCATAAAATCAATTTGTGAAAGTGCAAGGATGTCAATGAAACCCGCCAAAAAAATTTGAAATTTTAATATCTATTATATGAAATAAGATTTTTAATTAATTTTTGTGTGAAATGCAATTAAAATATAAAAGTCGTAATATTATAGAGAAAATAATAACTTCAAATCTGTGTCCAAGTACCTTTAACGCGACAGATAAGAAGTGAAACATTTTATCTCAATTATATCCGAATTTTATTTCATATTTCATCTAATATTAAAGTATACTTAATGTCAAATCTCTATAATTTACAAAAATCTCACAAGGACTGAAAATATTTGCCTATGAAAAAGCATACACAGACTTAAAAGAACAAAAACGATCATTTTTTCATACTTTAACAAAATTTTTCAATATGAGTGGGTCTTCGCTCCATTTTTTGAAAGATAATCCTCGAAGTTAGCGATAAAATAAATATTTTAAGTACACTTTTGTGACAAAACATTCGCATCTAATCTTTCCGAGAAATACTTCAAGTCCATTAGGTCAAGGGTCTGTTACAACGCACTTTGAAAAATTACGCACTTTGAAAAAATTTTTCAAAGTGCGTTAAATCAACGCACTTTGAAAAAATAATTATTTTTTTTCAAAGTGCGTTGATATCGACTATATTAACGCACTTTGAAAAAATGTGTATGGCTTGGTCAATATTCCTGAAAATCTTAGGTATGATAAATAATTGAACCTGTTGGATAACTTTTCTGTGAAGAGGTCACTTCAGGATGTGAAATCGATTTTGATTTTTCCAACTTTGAAAATTCTTTCTCGCTTAAATGCTTTACTGTACTTAATTTTTTTCAAGTTTGCATGCATTTTATGTTAACTTAAATTTATTGAAAGTTTTCAACGTCATACCAGTTATGTAAACACATATATTTGGGTGTAGCATAGGCATCAGTACCGGAAAGGGGGTTACATGTAGGCATATAAATATTTTTCAAAGATATACATAATATAAACATGTATGCATTAAAAATTGGGGCTTACCTGTGGGGTCAACTTTCAATTTGCTAAATGTACAATGTTTAAGAAAAAAAAGAGTTGGGATGAGAGACCTTCTACTCGTCTTCTCCTTGTTCTCAAAGAGGTTAAATGAGTTCATGTAAATTTAAAAAAGTTTTTCGAAAGATATAATTATAACAATTTGATTTCCTCTATTACTAAAATCTATTTTCAAAAAAAGTGCGTTAAATGCCTCCATGGTAAAAAATGTTTATGTGCATTCTTAACGCACTTTGAAAAATTTTTTCAAAGTGCGTTGAGTGTGTCAAAAAATTAACGCACTTTGAAAAAATTTACGCACTTTGAAAAAATTTTTCAAAGTGCGTAATTTTTTCAAAGTGCGTTGCCACAAGGGTCATATCACAAACATGATTGAAATGTCCATAATCGTCATGAGTCACATAGCATAGTGGTTAGCGCTTTAGTCTCAAAGCAGTATGATACTTCGGTATGTTATTGCTGGGGTTCGAATCCCACGTATACCATCTAATATTTTTATAAATGAACATTTTTAAGAGTTTTATTTCTCTCAGAAAATGTTTTTTCCCCTCATAATTTCATAAATTTCAATAATGAGAAGTAAATTTAAATACTCAATTTACATATCAAATGTGATTTCATAATATTTGACGCTATAGGCATTCTGCCCGCCTTATCCCCCCATCTTCATAACTTACCTCGTCATTGGTCATTTGCAAAATTATTTTGTCAAAACACATTCTGATTGCACACACAAGTACTCTGAAGTTGACATAAAAAAGATGCTTGAGTTTCTGATTGACAATATCTATGTGGTTTTTGGTCTTCCAACAATCGTGGAATTCCCATGGGTACCAATTGCGCTGCGTTATTAGCAGACTTATCTTTGTATTCATATGACAGGTATCGTCTCGTATCCTATTTTCGACCGTATTGTATTTTCGACCTATTTTTCCCAATCTGCTTTCCATGCAGATACCGTGCAGTACAGCATTATTTTCGCTTGCTATACACTTGGAAAAAATGTCTTTGAAGCACAACTGTAGTGAAAATACCCAAAATAAATAATTCAACGGAATTTCCCCAATGGTTTTAGTCCGATGTCAGAAATTCTAGTCTTTTTACTAATGCACATTTTAGCTGTTGATTAATCAAAGTCGTAATCGGTTAATTACAAAGATTTTTTTAATGACATTATTCCGAAAAAAAATTAAGATCTCTGTCTAAGAGACACGTGAATATTGAAATGAATGGGTGGATCAAACAAATTTTTTTCTTCCTTAAATATGGGCATTTTCTTACAGATTTTTACTGAAAATTGCAACGTAATTTCATTGATTTTTTTTAAATGCACAGCTACTGACAGATGGGTTCAACCAACGAATAAATGTATTTGCAACCAAAATATGCAACTTGTTCAAATTTTTTTTGAAAGACAGACAATTGTATTTTTATTGTTTGGAATATCCAATAGATATTAATAGCCAAAACTGATTGGGCGTTGATACTATATTTAGGTCGAAAACACAAGACGCTAATATTTTTGTAAGGAAAACTGCACCCTTTCCATATTATGGCATATAAATAAAATAAACACAAAACTGCAATTTGGGTTATATGATTTTATTTATAGACACATTTGCTAACATTTTAAGCCCATATTTTTTCAGATTCTATAAAATTTGCAATAAATTAATAAATAATATCTAAATAGGTCGAAAATACAATACGCCAGGATACGTAGCATCGTTTTTGAAAGGGGGGGCAGCCAGAGAATTTTTTTTACTTACCTGTAAAAGTTGACAAGCAAAATAAAAAGGAAATTGCCGAAACTCGAAAAACCTATCTCTTAGTCCCCCCCCCCCGTTGCTACGTGCATGTATGAAGCAGAATTTATGCAAAATTTTATGTGTGAATAGAAGAAAACACTTGCTGTGGTCTTCAACTCAACATTTAGATATATCGACGACGTATTGTCAATTAACAATGGTAATTTCCATTCCTATGTCGAAATGATATATCCTGGTGAGCTTGAGATAAAAGATACCACAGAGTCTGACAAATCTGTTTCATACTTGGATATTTTACTTGAAAAAGACACTAATGGTAATCTAACAACCAAGCTCTATGATAAACGTGATGACTTTAACTTTTCTATCAACTTCCCTTACCTATGCAGCAATATACCTTCATTACCTGCATACGGAGTTTACATATCTCAGTAGATTCGATACGCTAGAGCATGCTCTACATATGAACAATTTCTAAAACGAGATAAATTATTGACAAACAAGTCGATGAAACAAGACTATCAGCAGTCTCGTTTAAAGTCATCATTTCGTAAGTTCTATGGTCGATACCAATCCTTGTGAGAAATACAATTTATCATTGATTCAAATGCTGGCTGACGTTTTTCATACTAATTGTTAGTCCATTATTTTTACACTGAATTGACGACGGATTTTTCCGTTATTTCCCGATCATGACAAGGAGCACACGGCGGGTGTGACAGGTCGGCAGGGGATGCTCACACCTCCATGGCACCTGATCCCACCTCTGATGTTTTGGAGGTCCATGTTTGCTATGCTCCTAATTAGTATTGTTTATGGACTTTGATATAGAATACGTAAATCCCAAACCTGATCTGCTCCCCGATACACTGCTTTTATTTAGTACATTTCTCTGTTAACCTTGGACTTTCAGAAAGGCGTGGTATTATCGACGTTATAGCGTCTGAAAGTTACACAGCCTTTCATTCACTGTTGAAATATACATGGGATAGAAATGCGGGTTTGAATGTCAACAAGTATAGCAATGATCCAATGACAGCGTTCCGCACGGCAAAGAGGAGGGGCTTAAGTTGTCTCATCGTTGTCAACAATTTCTTAACCACTGAGAATGTATTCGTCCTTTGAGAGACGTCGATTGCGTAGCGTCGAGAATGCCACACTTTACTGAAAGTCCAGGGTTGACAGAGAATTATACTATAATTTTTTTCATAAAAAGCTATCAACATCTATATTTATATTTCAAATTGTTTAATGTATGATGATCAACAAAGAAAATTGGATTCAACTTTCACAAACAATACTTGAGATTTTGAAACAAAATTATTTGTTCCGGTCCGTTTTGACCGGTGCTGGATTATTTGCGAATTTATTTCTGCACATTTTAAGTCCGGGTCTTTTCGAACACCACTTTATCCGGATTCCCTTTATACGTAGATGATGTTTATTACGTCGCTTTTTCTTTTTCCGTCTCCTATCCCGTTTCTCTTTCCGCTTCCTTTTTCTCTTCCGCTTACCTTAATTTAAAAAAAAAAGTCAAAGGTTATATTATTCTTATGTAAAATGTATGTAGAATTTAACGTGATGAACTTTTTTGAAAGCCAAAGGGAAAAGTAAATTAAATGAAAAACAACAATTTTAAAATGTTTTGACTGCAAACTTGGGTTTACGACTCGTCAGAAATATCTTACGTTTTCCAGGCTTTTTACGATTTTGAGAATTTTTGGTTTTCCTGGCACGTAAAATATCAAAATCGTTAAAATGCCAGGAAAACGTAAGACATTTCGGACTAGTTTTACGTTTTACAATGAAATCCATTTACTGGTGAGAACAGTAGCTTGTTTTAACTTTTTATTCAAAGTAGCTGTTAATTACATATACTAAATATCCTCTCTGTAATAATAATAAAAAAAGAACGCCCCCACCAAATGAAAAATTATTAAAACTTGCGTGTACACAACAAAATACAATTGATCGAAGCATTAATTATGGAACGCCATGGCTGCCTTATGTTAGATGGTTATAATTATATGCTGTGGGTTTATAATTATATGCTGTGGGTTTATAATTATATGCTGTGGGTTTATAATTATATGCTGTGGGTCAATAATTATATGCTGTGGGTCTATAATTATATGCTGTGGGTTTATAATTATATGCTGCGGGTCTATAATTATATGCTGTGGGTTTGTTATTATATGCTGTGGTTCTTATATTATATGCTGTGGTTCTTATATTATATGCTGTGGGTTTATAATTATATGCTGTGGGTCTATTATTATATGCTGTGGGTTTGTAATTATATGCTGTGGTTCTTTTATTATATGCTGTGGGTCTATAATTATATGCTGTGGTTCTAATATTATATGCTGTGGTTCCATAATTATATGCTGTGGGTCCATAATTATATGCTGTGGATCCATTATTATATGCTGTGGGTCTATTATTATATGCTGTGGGTCCATTATTATATGCTGTGGTTTTATAATTATATGCTGTGGGTTTATAATTATATGCTGTGGGTCTATAATTATATGCTGTGGTTTCGTTATTATATGCTGTGGATCTATTATTATATGCTGTGGTTTCGTTATTATATGCTGTGGGTTCATAATTATATTCTGTGGATGTATTGTTAAATATTCTGTCGGTTTATTAGAAACTATCTATTCAAATCTAGACTTCTAGTTTTTTTAGTTTACTTGCTCAAAAAATGGCAGCTAACCGTAATAGGAATGAGAGAGTGCTGAATAGGAAGGCATTACCTGATTGGTTTAAATGAGAAACAAGTATGAAATGTTTTTTATTATTTTTTTTTTATAAAGTAAAAATATTAATGTTTGAAATTAATGAGGGAATGTATGAATAGTACAGAAATATAGAAATACCAGGGAAATTGTAAGAGCGGGGGTTGATTTTTTTTATGGAGTGTAGGAATATAACAGAAATATAGAAATACCAGGGGAGATTGTAGGGGTGGGGGTTGATTATTTGGGGGGCAGAGTGTTATTTACTCCCGGTACCTATAAGTTAATTTTTATCAACTGCAATTTTGATTTTGGGGGGATTTTTTTTTATAAGCGCTTGGATTAAAGTTTAAACGATGCCATACACTTCAAATATTTATCATATTAAGAGAAATCTGATGCACATTGTTAACTAGCTGCAGATCTGTAGCGTTATGGTTTTATATACTTGACTTTGGTCGAAGACAAGTATACAAAACCATAACGCTACAGATCTGCAGCTAATTGTTAACTTACTTGACAAGCAAAAAAAAAAAAAAAGGAAAATGGCTTAATCACAAAGATTCTATTTCGAGTCGTGGGAGGGGGGGGGAGTGGTTAGGTTCGACAAACTTCTTTAGTACCCAGTTTTTTTCCAAACACCACCAATTTCCCCATTTTTAACCTATACTGCGACGTATCTGTGGAAAGGGGGGGGGCTAAACCTAAGAAACAATGTTCAATGTCTATACTAAGTATATGTTTGGAAAAAAAGTTTGGGGGGGCTAAACCCTGGTTCCGACTATGCTTATATCTACATTCTTCTCACTGCCCCCCTTTTAACAAAGGACATAACTCCTCTCAAATCTCAACACACAAAAACAAGTAAAAGTACAAAAGGTTTGTATAGAGTTCTGTGGGAAAATAATTGGTACTCTTTTCCTTATAGAGATCTTAATTTTTAAAATGTGAAGTGAATTTAAGGCAAAAAAAAAATATGATATTTTGCTCTTTATTTGACGACACACCGAGAGGAAATACCCCAGTATACATTTATATATTTTAAAAAAATTAAAAAAAATACTATTCTAATTTAATTTCAAACAATTCGAGCGTAGCGGAGTCAGCCGAGGATTGCCGATTGATTCAGCACTCCACTCTCTCATTCCTATTACGGTTAGGCCTGGTGCAGTTGCCGCCATTTTTTGAGCAAGTAAACTAAAGAAAAACAGAAGTCCAGATTCGAATAGCTAGTTTCTAATAAACCGACAAAATATGAAACAATACACCACAGCATATAATTATGAACCCACAGCATATAATAATGAAACCACAGCATATAATAAAAGAACCACAGCATATAATTATGAACCCACAGCATATAATTATGAACCCACAGCATATAATTATGAACCCACATAATTATGAACCCACAGCATATAATAATGAAACCACAGCATATAATAATGAAACCACAGCATATAATAATGGATCCACAGCATATAATAATGGACCCATGCACAGCATATAATTATAGACCCACAGCATATAATAATAGATCCACAGCATATAATTATAGACCCACAGCATATAATAATAGATCCACAGCATATAATTATAAAACCACAGCATATAATATAAGTAGCACAGCATATAATATAATCATCTAACATAAGGCAGCCATGGCGTTCCATAATTAATCATTATTTTGTTTATCATTTTGTTTATCTGAATTTCACAAACATGCTGAATCGTGCATTTGTCAACAACCATTGCCCATAATGCATATGTACACTAACTACATGTCAAGCCATGCTGTCATACACGTGTTGAAAAACTTTGTTTTATATAATTATGGATTAAGTTGTTATTAGAAATGATTCACGACATTAAAAAAACATACGTTTACTGTAGTATTTGTTCGTAATTCACTTTTTAACCCCCCCCCCCTTTTGAAGATTTGGGGCCATATACTGTAGTATTTTATTGCTGTGTTCATCCGTCTTTATAGCTGTCTGTTTGTCCGCAGAATTTCTGATCTTGCTCATAACTTTTTAATGCTTGGAGCTATGGCTTTTATATTTTACTTGTTTATTCCTCATGGCATGTTTATTCCTTGTGATACATATACTTGTAAGACCTTTCTTTGGGTAGCAACGTTTTTGACCAGTTGACCTTGGCCTTTTTTTTAATACAAAAATTTACTTAACTTTAACGTTAACCTTGTTCATAAATTTTCAACGGTTGTTGCAAGGGCTTTCATAATGTTCGTGCTTATGAAAAGCTTTCCTTGGATAGAAATGATTTGACTCTTTGGTCTTTGAGTTTGACTCACTTTAAAGAAAACTTGTTTTTGAATTTTGAGTTTTTAATAATTGAAATTAAGACTTTAATATTCCTTGGAACAAGACCTTCCGTTGGGTACAAACTATTGCACGATCCTTTGACATATTGGCTTTGGAGTTTTTAATTAAACCATATTTGAAAACCTTAAACCTTGGTCACAATTTAAGTTTTTCAAACGGTTGATACTTTTATTATTATCCTATTATATCCATTGCCACTAGATCTTTTTAGGGGTACCAACAAATTAAATATCCTTTGACCTCTGAGTTGAACCTACTTTTAAAATCTTTATCCTTGTCAATTTACTATCGAATGTTTAGACTGCTAGAGCTTTCATTTTCTATAATATATATACCTTCTGACAAGATCATTCTATGGTTGACTTAGATTTTGACCCACAAATTAAAACTTTATCAGTGGCCATAAATGTTATGTAGAACTGAGGCTTTACAATTTCAAATTTTTACTTCATGTAACAAGACTTTTCCTTGGGTACTGTCATGTAAATTTTGGATATACCAGGTGGCAGTAAATACAAAATTTAAAACATTTTGTAAATTTTAAATTTACTGCCACCCAGTAAATTCAAAATTTACAATATGACAGAACAGCTAGTTTCGACATTTTACCTAGATCTTGAAGTATGAACTACTTTTGAAAAAAAACAAGATGTGTTTGTGAAACACTGATGCCCTCGTAAGGCAAGATAGCGAAGATTGAACTTTTATTAAATGCCATTTTAATATATTGGCACATGAGAGGGCATTGATTGAATGAAAAAGGTAAAATTGGGATCATTATTGCATTCGTTTTGTACAAGAAAATTGAATGGAAATTTCCAGGGTCATTCCCCCTGAAAAAGACCGATTTTAACAGTGCAATGACGACCTACATTTATAAAAATTTTCTTAATTCTACTTCGAAAATGATTGGACAGATGAACATGTGATACATGTATATGCCAATAATAATAAAAATTCTTTTCTTTCAATAGAAGTAAGGGCAATTAGATAATATATTCCTTTAATTCCTTAAAAAGTTTTGCTGCTATTGGCAATGCAAAACTTTCTCTTTACAATTTCTACAATTTTATAAAGTAACCATCTAATCAGATGCTGAATTGTTCATTTTTTATTCCCCCGTAATCGAAGATTCAGAAGGGGGGGGGGGGAATAAACAGTGTATACTGTACAGTTTTTGCTCTGTCCTTGCTTTGACCTTGAAGTTTGGCCTACTTTTGCCATAACTTTTGAACAGTTGGTGCTATGGCTTTAATATTTTTTCTGAATATGACTAATGTCTAACAATTTTCTAATTAATCATGAACTCATTGGCAATTGAAAATTGCTAATTTGTGAAAGACAATAATGACAGGACTTATCATGGGGGTATCATTCATGTTACCTTGACCTTTGAGTTTGACCAAATTAAAAAAAAGAAGATTAATCTTGGCCAAAACTTTAGAATGATTGGTGCTTAGGCTTTCATATTTCACAGATATAATAACTGAGACAAGTTTTTCAATATACACACTATATTCCACAAAATAAAACATTTTTAAATTCATCATTGAGTTTAAAACAATACTTTGTATTTTTAAAAATTTAGTTATAATTTATTTTTTGAAAAATCTGGAATCTGCAGGTGGTCCTGACTAAGTAGGTTTGTGTAAGATATGCATATATTTATCATGGAGGTCTTTTAAACAAAATGATTATGTATTAAAAGTTTTAAAAATCGCCAAACATTAATTACAAAATTCTATCCAGTTGAAATTCAAATGCTAAAAATTTTTTTTCTAGCTAATGACATAGCCATTATACTGAAAATTTCTTCAGTCTGAAGGAATTACTAAGTAAAACCTCTCCAAGTGAGTAATTATAATGACTGGTACCCATGTACAAATCTTATCATACATTACTCTAAAAAAAATACAAGAACAAGTTAGTATTAATTATCATCAAATTGGAAAAGTAGGATGATTTTCATCTATGGAAAAATCTAAATTAACCAAAGTGTTAATATAAAAGTAGGATTGTTTGTTACCTGGCAAGCTATTCTCTTTTAATAGAGAAGTGGACAAGCTTTCACCTATATCCATGGATGTAGGTGAAAGCCTATTCTCTTCTCTAAAGAGAATACTGGCAGGCATTTTTATTCTCATAAGAAAACTCTTGACCCATACACCTTTTAAACTAATTTTACCAGTAACCAGTTTTCCCCAACCATCTAAGGCCCTCATCTAAAACTAATTCTGACAACTTACCATCGATTATAAAATGTTAGGAACAGGAAATTTTTAACTTTCTCGAGCAGCCATTTAAATCTACCTATGAATATAAGCAAGTACCTTCAGTCTACTTTATAAATACAAGTACTTTCACAGATGCACGGAAACAGCATATAAAACACCCAATGGCATGGCAAATGATGAATTATGTTTTAAATTAATGGTTAGATCTGTTTTGAAATACATGTACAGGTATATAAAAATTAGATTAATATCTGCTAACCATAAGCTAAAACAGAAACTTTTCTAATGGTTTTATTTTATTCATTAAAATTGTTTGTTTACATATATAATAAAAACCTTAACAAAGGGGATGAATATTGGGAAGTACAGGTATTTTCAAAAAAGTAAAAGCATAAATGGGTAAAAGTTAAAATTTGTACATGTAATACAAATTATCTTATAATACTGGAAATGATAAGATATAAAAAATACAAAATGTTTTCAAATCTCTCAACTTGGCAAGCTGAATGACTCAAATAATTGCAGCAGAAACATTCAATATATAAATTATGATAGTAAAAAATTATTCATTTTATTTACACAATTATTAATGGTATAAATGTATCCCTTAAAATTTAATCAATGAATTGATTCTCCACAAAAAAAATATTTTTCAGTTTTTTTTTTTTTTTTTAATTTCCACAAGGCAAAGTTCCTTCAAATTCAGTTTTCTTTTACAACATAATGAACAATTTTGAAAATTTTACTGCACTGCATTAATTTGTAAACAGTCCCTTAAAAAACGAGGTCTGAATACGTACATATAATTATCTTCAAAGAAAATTTTGACTGTCATTTATTTTTGAAGAATGAAATCAAAAAGATATATGAAATTTAAATTTTTCACAGAAAAAAAACCCGCTTCATCATAAAATTGTTAAAATGCAATGCATCTGTAAATAGATATTCTTTCTCTAAAGATTCTTTCTGCTAATACTTAAGAAACATCTTGGTTAGTATACAACTGCAAGATACCCCCAACATGCATACCGTACTGTTTGCAACACAATAAAAACTTTCAAAATTACCTTTCCTGTATAAAAATATTCAAAAGAAATTAATCATAAAAAAAAATTCAAAAATATTGTGTAGATAATACATGTAAATATATAAGAACATCAAGGTTAATAAGGTGAAATCGATTTCAAATTGCAGATCTATTCAAGTACTTGCAAAGTGTCAAACCCTCACTTGTTTCATTTTCTATTTTAAAAAAAATTATTAAACATCAAAAGTTTTTAACCAACTTCTCTCCAACAAAAATTCACATTGAAATATAAGAATACTTACTTTAACCTGCTTGCAATACAACATTAATTTTTGTAAATATATATTTTCACCATGTTTTAAAAAAATAATCTTTTAATTTGACTAAAAAACTAGCAAAGGAGAATTTGATAAGACCTGGCATTCCCAAACCAGTTTGTATAAAGCATCTTGTTTCCTTGATGGGGCAAACAGGGTAATTGTTACCAAAACATAAAATTTTTAATTCAAGATTGAATCTATGAGATTATATACAGAGCTAGATATTTGTAGTGCATATAATAATCTGAAAATACTTGAAAATCCATTATCAAGCATTGTAATATCTACTAAGAAAGTAAGAAGCACAATCAAAATTACATTCCTACTTTCATCATCCCCTTTTGAAGTCATTTTCTACTACAAAGGACTTCTGTTAAGACACTGTGGCATATAAATGCAGTTTGCAAACATTAATTGCATAGACAACAAAGTGTTCTAATTCCTGAGAGATCCATAAAATATAATATATACATGCAACTGGATATATAATAACTTTAAGGTAAATTGACCCTCTGAAAGGAATGTTAACTCTGCTTAGAAAAAATGTCTGTTTTTTTTCGTTTTGAATTGTTATAATGAAAACGTTAATTCTGTAAAATTTTGACACACATTAAGGTATGTTTAAATTTTCTACATTTTATGTACAAATTAGATTTCTTTTGGAAAATAATCATGATCTTAATGAATAATTTTATATGAGTGACTAGAGAGATGAGGAACTTAGCCCAGAAATTTCCTAATTAAAAGAAGTGTAAAATGGATATTTTTTTTATGGATTTAATCTCAGTAATCCATTTTGACTGAACCAGAAGGATTAAATCCAGGGAAAAAGATCCTAGAATGAAATTTATACAATGATCTTAACAGACCTTGACTTTACAGTTGGATTGTTTCCTGAGTTCAGGCACATCATTTACCCAAAGACATTATGGGTACAGCTGTATTAATTTTACAAATGAAACAGAGCCCACAGAGAATTTAACTCTGCATTAAGAACTACATGTACTATTGGATGACAAGGCACGTACACTCAATATTCGAAGACACTTGATTAATCAGGTATGAGTAATGTGTGCAAAGGGTACAAAAAATTATGTCTACTTTGTCTACTATTTCTGTTTTGTCATTGACCTTTAAGATCCTTTGGTCAAGGTCATTTGACATTAGACCCCTTGTGATTTAACTTGAAAATTGATGAAGACAACTGATTTTATACAATCCAATAGTAAGAGGCAATGTGCTCCTTATGGGTAAAGCATAAAGACACGGAGGAACGTAAAATATAAAATGGACAAGACATGTATAATTGACTTTGAAAATATTGTAACAATATTATCAAGCATTATCCCTGAAAGAACCTGTTTGAAGTATGAATGAAATCAAGGGGACAAAAACACCCGAACAGATGGATTTATGGAATGTTCCCTATGAATTATCTGCAAAGTTAGGCCAAACATAAGTAAAAAAACAAACTTACATTATTAAGACAAAAGTGGATTATAACAATATTAGAAATGGTGGAATTCACACAGGGGACGGGCCTAGGTAGAAAAAAAAAACTTTATGAGACACTGGATTTCACAAAGGGGACAAGTCAAGCTATTCACTAGTAAAATAATACACTGGGTGGGATAATTTTATCTCCTGGTATCTAATACTGATTTTGATTGACTAGAAAAGACATTGTAAACCAACAACTACATACAAATCAACAACTTGTTCTTAAACTACATTGAGATGGGACTTGTTAATATATCTATCACAAAGAAAGTTCTACAACCTAACTTCTAGATACCATCAATGTACCCTTTTTAAACAAAGTCCCAAGTTACAGATCTAAAATTAGTAGACAAAAATGTCATCATGAGTTTAGACAGAAAGCCATCACAATTGCTACAGCAGTGCCCCATGCATGCCGTAACATACCAACTCTGCCCGAAGTCGTGGTGGTCACTGGAGACGCCGTACTTGTGGCCCTGCTTGGACGCTGTGTTGTGGTGGTGGGCGGGGTTACAATGGGGAGACTAGTGGTGAAGAGGGGTGGTGTTGGGAGGGGTCCACTCAATCTAGCTGAGGCACATTGCTCAGGGTTACCTCTCCTGAAAAAAAATATATTTATTGTGCAATCATGTAAATCTAAAGCTTAAGGTACTCCGATCCTCAGCCAGGAAGGATAACTCTTTAATTCATAATTTAACTAAAAAAGTCTCAAAATGCTGTTTTTCAGAGACAAAACTGTCTTAGTCCACCTCACTTAATGACTTATACAATTTTATAATACTGAACTATACAGATTACTTTTATGATACATGTACTTTGTTTTATACAACGAAAATTGATATTATTTTTTTTAATTCAATTAAATAATTTCCAATGCAATACATTGTAGGTGTAAATGAATTTTCAGGTGTAATAACTGTAGAACCAATTCCTGAATGCTGAGTCTGACACTATTTGCTAAGAGGTACAACGAATATATAACTTAATTGCCTTGATCTACTTCATTTATTCTCCTAGAAGTTGATCAATCTTTCTTTTTTATTGTTCACAAAAAAACTTTTTTATTACTAGATAAGATAGGAAAATCTCATTAACTATAAATATAGTAAATCAATAGTTACTGCAGTTATCTAAACCATCCACAATGATGCAATGGTTTTGACAGACAAGCTGTGAAAAGCTTTAGCTTTTATATAACATAAAATGGCTACAAATGACAAAATAAATCTAACTGCCTTCAAAGTTATAGATATAATATCCTATATATAAACTTAATAATCAATAGTATTCCATACTGAACAATAAAACACCAAATATAAATAGGTTTTTTTTGTGAAGGCCTCATCTGGTTGAGGATTCTCTAATTAAGACAATTAAACAGAAAGAGAGATGTACACTAAGTGCTGGTAATGACTCCAAAGGGAGTCGCGCAATGAAATCAATATCAAAATATATAAACAGAAATCTTTTTTACAGGGGATGATCTTAAAAGCAATTAAATTAATGCAGTGTTTCTATCTTAATAGAATTCCGATCATGAAAAGGTCATGACCCTAATTCTGGTTCTAATACTGCTCCTAAAATAACTTGTTATAAAACACATAACACACTGTGTGTAATAAAATAAATGGCATTCATTGAGTAATCATGAGCAATCATTGTGTTATCAAGATAATATCAAGCATCAATCAAATAAAACTGTATATTTCTTACACAGGTGCTCCATTGCACCTGTTGAAAGAGAAGGTGCAGGTTTTCATTCTGTGCAGAAGATGCACTTTACAATCATATAGATGTCAAAACATTGAGTGCTGAGTGGCACGATCTTACAAGACATGACAGAAAGCATGTCTTCTGCCACTGACTGGGGTGTGTGTTCTTGCAAGACCCTCTCAGGTTTGTTTTCAAAGCATTCTTTATATACATTGTCTGATTATAAAAGTGGATTTTTCTAATTTCTTACAGTTGCTTGAAACAGATTCTACATACCATTTTCCTATCATGTATCATGTGCAAAGCTGACAGATGTTGAATGGAAAGAAAGGTCTACAGAAGGCTTTTTTTCTACCCCAAAGGAATTAAGGAAGAAATGACAATTCACTAAGAGAGATAACTCTAAATGCTCCCTTGCTTTCTTAAGAGGATTTTTGTCCCAAGCATCATTGTTTAAAATATTTCCAAAGGTATTAAATTTGCCACAGTTCAATTTTCTCTTTCTCTTTTGTTAGAAAATAGTTTTCAAGGTAATAAAGGGATAGTGAACTTGACTGCTCTTTAAAATAATGTAAAAGGCCTCAAAAATTCATTTTAGTGATCAGTTAGGTTCACTTTTAACCAATAATTTAAGGCAAACTAATAAGCTTCGTTCTGCTATATGTTTCTTTCAGAGTTCAAATTTACAGGTTTAAAACACAGAAGAAATATTTAAAAATCTTCTTAAAGTCTTTTTTCACTTTTAAGTTTGTTAACTCCAAGAACATACTGAGAATACAATTGTATATATACCTGCAGAATTTTCTTGTCACTATTCTAATTACTATAGACCAAGCCATGAGGCAAAAAAGTGCCATCTATGTATATTTACATGTATTTATACATTTTACAGCCCAGCCAATTGTTTTTATGAGGAACCAGAAACAGATCGTAATGGAGCAATATAGACCTGCTTTTAGTATTACATGTAATATAACTCCATTCCCATGACCAAATACAGGTTTTCAAGTTGCATAAAGAACATGGCCTACTTTAAGTACGAATAAGTATAAAAAATAATTCTTTTGGTAATTTTGGACAGGAAATTGTATTATTAAGGTAGAATGTTAAGAGAGTTCAACTGCACATGGGAATCCTGAACCTGTGCATATTTTTGTAGTAGTGTGTGATTCACTGCTTCCGATTACAAGTATGTTTCTTTTATTGTTTTCAGTGACTATTATTAAACTATTGGGAGAAATAAAAATAAAACTTGAAGTAGATCGAGACTTTAATTTTATTTCATTTATAGCTCAAATTAGGGTCGGTGCTCCCTGTAAAACAGGAAATAAAAAAATTGTTGGTCTATCCTGGGCTAGTGAGTTAACCCTTTATCTCAATTGGTAGAGCAATGGACTAGCATGCTAGAGGTTCTGGATTCAATCCCAAGCAAAAATGTATACAAGTTTTTGTTGCATTTGGGGCCATTTTGGGACCCGGGTTTTCTTGACAGGTGAAAGTTATTGCCCCAAGAATTTCGCCCCATGACCTTGTCACTCCCAAAAAGCTGAGGACATCTCATTCAAATATCTGGACAGTATTAGTGTGTGCTTTCTACTACCCCGGGTATAATGGGCTAGTGGGTTAACCCTTTAGCTTAATCAATGGAGCACTAGACTGGTATGCCAGAAGTCCAATGTTCAATCCCAAGCGGAGGTACATACATTTCTCTCTTTGCACTGACTATTATGTCTGAAGTCATGATTCAAAGCCAAGACAGGATTTCCCATACATATGATAAAGCATAAAATTAAAGCACCATGCAACAATAACCCTATGCTTGAAATAATTCACATTTTTGGTACAAAATATACATGAAGGATATGGAAATAACTAACAGTATTCAATATCAATGTCCACGAAACAATACTAATTAGGAGCAGAGCAAACAGGGACCTCCAAAACATCAGAAGTGGAATCAGGTGTCATGGAGCAGTGAGCATCCCCTGCCAATTGGTCACACCCGCCGTGTGCTCCTTGGTGTATAAATAATGAACTAACAATTAGCATGAAAAATGTCAATCAACATTTGACTCAATGATAAATTGTATTTGCTGACAAGGTCATTGTATCGACCATAGAACTCAGGAAATGATGACTTTAAACGAGGCTGCTGATATTCTTGTTTCATCAAATGTTTGTCAACAATAAATTTCATACCTAGCTTTTCTCAAAAATATTTATTTTTACTACAAATACTAAGCACAATGTCTGTGTCTTTTGAGAAGTCATCCAAATTGGGTTGAGCTTATATATTTACCAAAAAGTCCTCCAGCTACAGTAAGGAAGAGCCTCTACTGTTTCCTTTTTAAAAAACATGATTTTTAAACCCCATTTTTATCTCATATCAGTATTGTAAAAAGATGGGTGATGCTCCAAGATCAGAGTCAAGAGGACAAAAATGCTGTTTTCAAAAGAAAAGATCTTATCTCAAAGAATACACATGTGAGACTTGAAAGAACTAGCTCTAACCAATCAAATATTATGGGAACACCTAATATAAGCTTAAAACAAGAGGCCCATTGGTCTACATTTGTCCTTCCTTGATTATCTCCCCTTGTAAGGGAGCTTGATCCTTCATTATTATAATTTAAACTCCCCTTCACTAAGTTCGCTTAAATTGGTTTTTGGGAAGAAGTTGAAAATGTGAAAAGGACAGAGAGGTGGAGGACAGACAGACAACTCATGATTAGAAAAGCTCAGGTGAGCTAAAATATTAAACTGGTCATTCTTTGGCTAAAAGTGCAGTATTTAAAACCTGACTGGTGATATATCAACCATGCATCTCTAATCAATATTATATAGAACAAAGTTCTGCTCCAAAAGATTAACTTGCATGTTAATGCTGAGGGTGAGGGCGTCACATAAGCTCCCCCAACTTTGTTGAGGTGAGCTAAAAATGTAAGAAACATTAAAATAGGGATTCAGTTTTTATTTCCAATGCTAAAAAAATAAGAAGGGGTTGGATGGGATGGGGTTGGAGGTGAGTCAAGCAGGAAACCCTAACTCAGAACAAACAATGTGCATATGAACAAACAAGATCATAAGTATGCATGTTATAAAGAACAAAAGTATTATAGCTAGAATTTTTAATTGAAACATTGTTGTAATATGCCTAAGTCTCTTAGACATATATACCTCGCTGGGTCCACAATTCTGTAGACTTTTCCACTGGAGTCTGCTGAGCTAGCCCGTCCAGTAGACAGCATGTACACTTCACCTGTAAAGGAGGGAACAAAACATTTAGTTTGCAAATTTTCCTTGCGAGGGGGATCAAAGTACGAAAAAACATGATTAAAGGGTCACAAGGACTGCTTACAGCATAATTAAGTGGCAACTCTTTATGTAAAACTATCACTTATCCCTAGCACCATTCCCCCACTCTTCCCAGACCTAAAAATTTTTATATCACCCACCTCCTTCATCCTCTCCAAATGACAGAATATGAGGCTCGTAATAATTGATCAGGGGTGGGGTACACATCTCCGGGCCACACATGTTTAACTCCTTGTTATTCCAGGTATTTGTTTGGCGGTCATGGAGAAGGCGGAACAATCGGCTGTGGAGAAAAAAAAAAAACACATAATATTCTCTGTAAAAACATTATATAAAGTTCAGTACTCATTTTATTCTTTAATTGCTTGATTTTTTTAAAAAATGAAATTTACATATATACTGAAAGTTAAAAGTATCATGTAATTTTTTTCAAAAACAAAACTTGTAGAATTTTTTCCCAACTGTATACACACACAGGTCCCTTTAAAATATGCATTTTTCATATAGATGACTAAAATAAAAGTCTAATCAAAATGATACAATTGTTTTTTCTAATTCTGTTACAATATATCTTACCCATTCATGAAGTCTCCAAAGATGTAGAATCCATTGAGATTAGGATTCAGACAGCCCCGGTAGAAATGACCTCCAGTAATTGACTTTCCCACCCTGTGAGGGTAAGAATGGATGGGAAAAACTTCTGGTCCTACAAATTAAATTTTTAACTGATAACATATCATAAACAATCTTATTTTTAATTTTAAGTCTATATATACACACTGTAAACGGGGTTCAAGGGCCACAAAGCTCACATGATTCACATATTTGCTGATTTTACATATAGCCCTTGTTTTATGTAACATATTGTTTTTTGACAATCAAACCAGACAGTTACCTATGACAAAAAATTATTCTTCAGGACAACAATTTCAAAAATCAATGCTGAAAAATGTTAGTTTTTCCTCTTTTTTTGAAGCAGGTCTAACGTGGATTTTTTGCTTTTTTTTCCTGTGAGTCGATCAACAGATGTCAAATTGATGATTACATCTGATTCTTACTTAATAATGATATACATGTACTCTACTTTAAATAGTGTATTCAAATGATTTGTATAAAAGAGTTAATTTATAAAAGACAGTATCCACATGAATTTAGAAATAATATATTGTGTGTCTATATGATTAAAATGTATAAAAAGGGGAATAACTCATTTTTTTAACTTGGGGAAAAAAAAAAGTTTAATACATGTATAATCCTATTCAATATGTATGTTTGTTTTATGTCCCTTTTGAGAATTTTTTCCTCATATTAAAGAACCAACACTTCCAGTGGAGAACTGCAAATTTTAGATCAACACTTCGCACTAAGGGCCATTGAGCAGCGAGAGGTTTTTTTCATGCCAGCACCTACTGTAACACAAGACCTCAGTTATTGCTTTCTCATCCAAAGGACCAATTTCCACATCTCAAAGTGGGATTTGAATACACAACGTATGTTTAACAAACTAAGAGATAAATCCACACCCTTAATAGTTATTTTATCATATTAACCACCTCAGAAAAATTCAATAATTAGGCCATGCAGAGTTTGTTCCTCTTTCAGGCACATCTCCAATGGGCTGAGACACGAAATTTTTGACATCAAATAAAACCATGATATTCACACAAAAAAAAAAAAAAAAAAAAAAAAAAAAAAAAAAAAAATTAAGCAGACTAATAGTTTTAGGTGTACTTAGTGCATTTGTTTTAACTTATTTAACTCAAATGTTTGCACTGATGTTTGTTCTTTAAAAAGATATTTATTCAGTACATCTAAATCTATTAGTATTTTAAAGAAGAAATATTGAAGTGCAGGCATTTAAGTACCAGTATAAAGAATTAAAACACAAAATTTACTGCATTTTTTCTCATGTCTATAACTGTGTTGTAGCTAGGACAGCCATTGACAGATCTGAATGTATGAGCCATGGTAAAGGGTGCTTTTACCCAGGAAACTGAATACCTACCAATGTGTCCACAGATTTCTCTATCATAACATGCTGGACCCTCTCTGGCATTCCATCCATAGTTAGCTCCCTTGATCAGTAAATCTAATTCTTCATGTGCTGACTGGCCAACATCACCACACACTATTCTTCCCTTACCTTCTCCTAATAATATTGTAAAATAATGAGTATATTTATTTCAATTAACATATTTTAAGTACATGTATATGACATTTTTCTACAGCACTTTTGTGTGAAACTTTAAATAGCATTAGTAAATTTTCTTCTGTCTGGCAGGTTTAAACACTCCAAAATAACTTAAATTTCACTGACTGGAATCAATTCTTGGAAAACTGACAGTGTGTTGAAAGGGAAGCAACTCAGTTTTGGCTTGTTGTGAAACATTTTTACTAGTAAGAACATAGATGTTTTCTACTATATAGTTGTAAATTTTTAACAACAAAATAATGATAGAAAAACTTAATTAACACTTATAATTGCAAGACTTTTCAAAGTAAAATTTTTAGATGTATTATGCCACATTTTATTTCTGTGCACCCCAATAACTGTACATATAACTTAAATATGATTTTTATAAAGTCAAGCCTCTTATATTTAGATTGAAAGAAATCAACAAGAATTTTTCACACAGTAATTTGGGCTCAGTTTAAATACTTTCAGAAAGTAACAAACCTGCTCTGTAATGTACTGTAAAATCACATATTTTCATGGGGCCTTGAGGTATGGGGAAAAAAATTTTACTTTGTGGGGATTTGATTTCATGGTTGGTAAAAGTTTAGTAGTAATGCATATGAAATATTTTACATTTTTTGGTGGTCATAAATTCGTGGGTCTCTCCATACCTTGAAAACAACGAAAATTAAAACCCCACAAAAATTAGTGATTTCATAGTTTCCGGTAACCTCAGATAGTCAAAATGCATTACTGTAGATCACTCAATTTTCGTGACACCTTATTTTCGTGTAATAGTCATTGACTCTTAATTAGCGAGACATAATTTTCACAAAATATTATTATTCCTCTTTATAGTCTTAAGGTCCTATTATACATGAGAATGAAATTTTTGCGAGCTCAGTGTCTCGGGCAATTACGCGAAAATAAAGTTTTTCACGAATAAAAAGTGATTTACAGTACTTTCATCCTTTTACCTGTGCGAGGATCCCCTCTATCTTTTCCACACCTCCAGATATTTCTAACTCCATATGCATAGATTTCAGGACGGAACATTGAGTGATTGGCAAATGGATTATCCAGGGGAATCTTGTAGGGAAACGGATAATCCAACTCTGTATCCACATCTATCCTCAACACTTTACCCAGGAGGGTGCTCCTGAAATTTGAAAATTCGGATTTTTATACAATTTTTTTTTTAACTTTTGGTTTAGAGGATTAAAGATTAAAATATGGTGTAAGCGAATCCTTTACATTGTGTATGTGTGTGTGTGTGTGTGTGTGTGTGAGGGTGTGTGTGTGTGTGTGTGTGTGTGTGGGGGGGGGGGGGGGGGGGTTATGTCCAATATTCTCTATTGATTTTATACTGGATGTGAGACAAGCATAGCTGAATTGCCATTGAAAATGTATCAAAATAAAACTAAATAGCATTAAATTATTTCAATCCTAAATAAAATATAAAACCCAATGAAACAACTTTTGTTGCAGATTTGCCCAATAGAAAAGAACATCGTAAATATACTATGTGATAATGAACTACATGTACTAAATGTTAATGATAATTTGTTTTGCATAAGTAATGACACACTGAATAATACTGTTATCAATATATAGTAAACCAACCTTTGCTAATGTTTCTGATCATGCCTGATTAAGCAATATGGTAATAATACAGATTCATGGACTACACATAAAAGCCATTCCTTAATTGACATTCATCAATCAGTATTAATTTCGTGAGCCAATTATCATATCATTAAGAGTATATAACTTCCATAATGAATAAAGGAGCCCAAAGCACGAACAAAAGGGGAATATAATGAATGATATATCAAATGAGTTAAGATTTTGTCTTCCATACTTTGTCCACACTTACATATCATATTTTGTCAACATATATATTCTGTGCACTTACCAGTATTTGTCCATTTACCCATTTTGTGTGCTTTACATACCATGCACCTACCGTAAATACTCGCCTATAAGTCGCTCTGCCTATACGTCGGTTGAATTTTTTAAGGTTATTTTGGAGGCATTTCTCCATTGACCCGCTTATAAGTCGGTACATTTTTTGACACATAAGGTCTACAAATTCAAATCCACTGGTGATTTTAACTTGTTTTCAATAAATATTTTTCAAACTGACTATGATACTTAATTTTAAAACATAAATCAAATAAGTAATACACACTCAAAATACTAATAAAATAATTTAATATGTAAATACTTGCACTTTATGTATAATCTAAGCATAATTGTCAGTTATGCATAACAAATACTACATTTTGCCTTCCAGAAAAATATCAATCTAATATGACTCACCTATAAGTTGGAAATAGAGTTTTAGACCAAAAATTAACTCCAAAAAAACCAACTTATAGGCAAGTATATACAGAACTGTAAACCAAATTTTATTCGCGACGACTTTATTTCACGATTTACCAGCGGTAAAGTAGTTGGCGACGATTAATTTTCGCGATCAGGCCTTTTTCGATCTGATGTAAATAGACAGAGAGGCTTTAAGTACCGGTTCGCGGCGAGAAATATTCGCGATGACGAGGCTGACGCGAAATTCGCAAAAATTTCTCCCACGCGAATAAAAGTTGGTTTACAGTATTTTGTTCACTTACATATTTTGTCCCCTTATACATGTAAACAATGAAATATTTGGAGACAATGAACTGAAAGATCCATTTATCAATACAAATTGTGGTGCAGAATAAACATAGACCTCTTAAACATCAGAGGTGGGATCAGGTGCCATGGAGGAGTAAGCAGCCCATGTTTTGTCCATTTTCAACCAGTCTTTTGTTCAATTACATATCGGTATTTGTCCATTTACATTTCCTTTTTCACTTGCATACTGGTATTTGTCCATGTACCACCAGTATTTTGTACGTTTTTCATATTTTGCCCACTTATGTATTTTGTCCACTTTAAACCTATTTTTTCCTCTTATACATACTTTATCCACTTACCTATTTTTTCCACTTACCTATTTTGTCCTCTTACTTACTTTGTCCACTTACATACTTTGTCCACTTACCTATTTTGTCCCCCTGCCTATTTTGTCCACTTACATACTTTGTCCACTTACCTATTTTTTCCACTTACCTATTTTGTCCACTTACATACTTTGTCCACTTACCTATATTTTCCACTTACCGATTTTGTCCACTTGCATACTTTGTCCACTTAACTATTTTGTCCACTTACCTATTTTGTCCACTTACATACTTTGTCCACTTGCCTATTTTGTCCCCCTGCCTATTTTGTACCTATTTTGTTCACTTACATACTTTGTCCACTTACTTATTTTGTCCACTTTCCTATTTTGTCCACTTACCTATTTTGACCGTTTCCCAGGGGATCTCCTCTGGACCCACCATCTCCCACAAAGATATATAAATAACCGTCATCTCCAAATAAAATCTGAAAGTTAGGAGGAAAACAAAAAATAAGAAATAAGAAATATACTGCCAAATAAAATCGATTTTGTTTGGCAAATGATTAATTGTAATGAAAAAACACACACATACACATCATCTCAGACTGAATTCAAGTACTATAGTAATTGGGGTCATTTTTTAAGAGATTCATTTATTAATAACATTGTTATACAAAATGCAAACAGCGATACAATTGTTGAAATCTACTTGTCATTTCAATCTGTAGCTATTAATGCCTAGATAAATAAATTATGTGTGTCCAGTTCCCTGACCCACCCTAAAATATATGAGCCGACCCTAGAAATTTTATCCATCAATCTTTCTGAAAGTTAACAAATCTGGTTTTGCTGTTAGAAATCTAAATTTCAACCACTTCATGGTATGAGTAAATGCATAATCCATACACATTGAGCAGAAATGTTTTGACAGTGATTTACACAGTAAAAATGGTTGTCAGTGCTTGCTTATAAAATGTTTGAATAAAATAAAATGTTTTATCTACCTACCTACCTACCCTATTTTTTCTCTGGTTGGAATAGGAAGCACATTATTTATTTACTTTGGCCTGAGCACTTTCTTTTCTTTTGTGTAATACATAATTCATATTTACCAATGAATTTTCCCTACTACATGCATGCAGAAAGAAAATTTGCAATTTTGTACATGTACATTCATGATTAGTATTTATACTTTAACTCAAAGAATGTACTAGATATATGTACTGTAGTTTTCAAAAAATGCAAATATTTTCTTACCATTTATAAACCGGTAATCTTTTTTATCATATTTCATTGGTAATAATTTATTCATGAAATGTTTCTACGCTTTAGATATGGAAATCCAATTAAAATACAAATAAGAACAGGTAACTTCATCAAAATGCTTTTTTTCTATTTTCATTCTTTTCTCTTTTGAAATTAAATCTTCAGAAATTAAAGCACATGTTCATATTGATTATAAGATAAAGAAATCATTCTTTTAAAACTTAAGACTTTTTCTGAAAGGGTAAAAAGGCTTAAATATGATCTGAAGATCAAGAAAGACCTTCATGGATATATTGATTCAGAAATACAATACCTTCATACTCTGAATCCCTTTGAATATTAAACCACAAAAGGGTCTTTGTTGATGTTTGGGGAATTTAACATGTACTATAAATGCATGAGGATTATGCGATTCAAGATAACATTTAATTAAATTTTCTAAGTTTACTTGAAAGTTGAATCTGGGTTGTGTCATAAAAATCTAGAACAAAATTTCCTATCTAGAAATCCTTAATCAACATCAAGGTTAATATGTTAAAGACTAAAAATTATTACGCAGTAAAAAAAATACAAAAATCTAATTAACAAATCAGAATCTGTAGATTTAAAGTTAATTAAACTGAAATTCGTTAAAAGAAAGGTGGATTAAAGATTAAACAATTTAACCTAAACCTTAATGTAACTTGATAACATCTATCAGCAAATTTAGCTTGCTTTTTCATGCATCGCCTGAAATAACCACTTTCCCCAAATGCTGACATTAAAAAAGTTTCTGGCTCTCAAATTTTCTTCGTGGGTAATAACTTTGTGTGTCTGAATAGACAAAGATTTACATGAATGATAAGGGCCTTTGTGGCAAACAGCTCAAGAGCTAATAACATGAAGAAAGTGTTGTACAGAAACATCAACAAGTCACTACTCTTGGTACAACATATCATCATGGTTACTTCTAGCTGACAAGCATACAGAAGAAATCTTTTAAAATAAAAAGCACCTTGGCAGAATTGCAATTTTTTATCACATGTATAGCATGGTATGATGGTAAAGAAATTATGTTCTGTATTAAATCTTCAAATGCTGTTGCTTTATTGCCTGGGGTGTATATATATAGCCTTCTAAATTGGTACACATATAAAGGTGTCCAAAAATAAAAAAAATATCATTTATCAACTGGTAATACCGTAATGCATGTTTATGATGGAAAAAAGGGGAAATAAGTGACATCTCAACTTCATTTATGTTTTTTATTAATTATTTCACTATATATTTAGTATCTTATCCCGCCACATGAAGGATGTTTTTCTTTAGAAAAAAAGCTCCTTCTGCGCAATTCCTTAATTAATTCAAATGAAGGTTTAGTTCTGTAGTAAGGAAGTAGACACCACCTTAATGCCAATACAAACCTCTCCTCCGTTGTGGTTCCAGAAGGGTTCCTCCACTTCTAAAATCACTCTCTCACTCCCAGCATCTGCGATGTTAGGATCCAGGCTCGACACTAGAAACTCACTGATGCGGATCTTATGGTTGTTATTCATTAAGTCATTATGGCGCTCAAGTAGTGTGGAATAATACACAAAGAATCTGCCATTTTGTCGAAAATTGGGATGAAATGCTAGTCCCAATAAACCTCTTTCATCGCCTTCATTTCTTGAGTTGACAGTCTGGTAGCTAATGTCCAAGAAAGGATGACTTTCACTTGACCCATTCGCATAATATTTGGTCCGCCTCGTTTGTCTACAGCTAAAGGTAATTATTACAAAGTCCGGCATCATAAATATGAGCCGGACCAAATACGATAACATATTTGGTCCGCCTTTTATAAGAAATGGTCCGGCCCGTATAAGGAATGGTCCGCCTACGTTTTTTGGTCCGGGTGGTGAAAAAACGTTTTAATTTTGACTTAAACATATGAAATTTAATCGATTTTGTTTAAACTATATAATGAAAGAAGGGTTTACCCTGTTGTGTTTTATGTTTTGTACAACATATCTCTAGGACAAGAATCTACATGTACTCCTCGTTCAGTTCAGCGTTAAGCATTGCTGTTTACACATCTAATACCATGATTAAAATTAAAATAATGGCACTATTATTGTGCAAGTGTTTGTTTTTCTCTAGAATATGCCTTGTGTAAATTAGTTCGATTAAAGGTGTGAAATCTGTCGGTGTGTATAGCTAATAAAACAATGGGGGTGTGACGTATTTGTTTACCTGACAGGTACCTGCAGGTAGAGCCCGCGGCAGATGGCGCTGTAATTGAATGGTTTGAGAACTTAATGACTTACCTTGACATATCAATACGTTTGGATTTTTTTAAATTCATAAATAATGTCAAGGAAATATTCATGCGTACACTTCAAACCTGTGACATTTATAATAATCATGATTATATATCGTCTTTTTTGAATATTCAGAGCTAATTAAATGTGGCGTATCTGAGCTAAAAAATAAGAATCCGAAATGAATGAGCGTAGATTTACATGAGATTTGATATTTAAATTCAAAATTAAATTTCAATTCGATTTTGAACTTAAATATCCCCTTGTTTCTATAGTTAAATTGACTTTTAACTGTGTCTGATATTTAAATACCGAGTCGATAAAAATCGTTCATTGTTTTTAATTTCTGATATCTTTAAAACGCGATTGATTACCATTAATAAAAGATGTATAATTTTCATTATCCTCTCATTATTATTTATTATATTATTTATTTCATTATTCTTTTTCCGGATTTTAAAAATTTCAATTTTGATTTCAAACATTTTCTAGCTTTCAGTTCCGACATTTAAAAGTTTTCATCTCCGACATTTTTCAGGAAGTGCTTTTCGGTAATTAAAAATTTTAAAGAATAAATTACACTCTGTATAGTATATTAAATGTCTTGGACATAAGTTCGATGCAGTCTTTGACATTTAATTTAGTGAAAATTAAATATCATGAAAAAATTACATGCTCTTTGAACTCTTTAACTAGATTTAGTTCTACATGTTCAATTGTATAAATACACAGATTTTGTAATACTTAGTATATTTTGTCAGTATCTTAAAAAAGTTGTGTGCAATATGATCTTTCAAAATTCCATTCATAAATACTTGGTAAACATTAATTTGCCGGAGAGACACCTAGCAGAAATTCCGGAAATGAAAAGAAATAATAAATGTCGGCAAAGAAATGAAAATTTGTCGGAAATGAAATTTAAAAAAAATATAGGAAATGCTACAGTATGCCGATTCCGGGAATGAAATGCAGCGGTCATATCGTTATATAAAGTACAAAAACAAACAGAAAGATCTTTTAATAATAGTTTCTCTGAACTTATTAAAAAAAACACCCTATATGACTTTACAGAAATTTCTCATCCAAGTGTAGAGTTTCATACCGATAAAGAGTACATGTAATTCTCTGGTTTACAGTAGTTAGAAGTCGTCACAAGTTTACATTTTTTCCCGTTTATAATCATATTTTGGTCCTTTATTGGTTGATTGTGTAAAATATAACCTCACCTTGAATTCGATCTTTTTTTACATTTACTACAAAACAAAATACATGATTATAATGTTCCGGTCCGTTAAAGACTAAAGGAAGAAAACATAACTACAGTATACATCAGCATTAAAGTTTAATGGTTTTGATCTAATCCATTCTTGTACATAACGATATATGCACATAAATATATTTATATATTTTTGCCAAAAAAGAAATAGAAATTATTACATTTTTTATTGTGACAGTTGCAGAATACAGGATGATCTTGTTTTGCAATAAAGATTATATTTTGAACTCTTTTTCAGTAACCATAACGATAAATTATTTTTCTTTTCTAACCGACAGCCTTTCGATAAAACCTTTATCTCACGCCTGTATGAAAAGATTATAAGCTTGAGGGGAAAAAAGTTTTTAAGGAATCGTCCATATACCCAAAAATAGAAAAAAATAAATAAAGCATACACGTGTTTACAGTTAGATCCATCATGGAACATTTCCTGGAGTTTAACATTTAGTTTGTTAAAATAACAATTTTTTTTAATTATATGTTGCAACAGTACCCAAAAACGATTTTTACAGAAAATTCACCAGGACGGCCAAGTGTTAATCAAATTTCTATTTCGGACAGACGCATGATAAATAATTTGTGCATACCTTTATCACCATGCTTTAAAATCCATTTTATTTTCATCTTTTAATAAAAATAACCCTCATTACTGTAATTTATCTATTATAACAGTTGTATAAAGAATACAGAGATAATCTTGTTTAAAATGCTTAAATGCCGTAATTCGCGCCTTTTTCATTATATTTTGTAGAAATAAATAGAGTAAAATTCCAGTCATATATCATAACTTGTATTTTGATTGAAAATATAGAGTTTTTATTTACCAATTCCGCAAAACCTTTCTGTATGAAAATGTATAAAGCCTTTATCTCGACTCCTTTAAAGAAGATGAAAAAATAGAATAAAAACCAGCTTAATAAGAATTAAACAAACATTTGATATATTTAATTATAGTTTTTAAATTTTCATCTCATTCATTGACTTTATGAAATCATCGAAAAAAGAACATTTCTAAAAAAAAAATAAATAAATCTCCCCTTTATGAAATGTAAAATATAAAAATAACTTCCAGGCCATTTGCGGGGTATTTTTAGATAAACCATCATCATTAAAAAATTTAAATCTTCATCTTTATGACAAAAACAAACTAAATACACAGAAAATGTGTGAAAGAGAGTTTATTGCCATTTAAATCAAGGTATGTGTCCGATATGGTGAAACCACTTACTTAAAAATTAAAGCATACACGTGTTTACAAGATCCATCATGTTCACTTGACCCTCTTATTTGTTGTGTATCATTTTTTTTTTTATTTTTAACTGTGCCCCTCCTGCAACAGTACCCAAAATAATATATAATTTTCAGTGACAAGTGTTAATCAAATTTCTTTTTCAGGCTTCAGATTCGCATGATAAATAATTTGTGCATTTACTTGTTGTCGACCACTTTCAACCATTTTTTTAATCAATTGAATAAAATTAATCATTATTTAACTTTATCTATTATACTTTTTCCTTTTTTTAAAGCTAGCGGAGAGTGATCTCCAGTGTAAGATTTTTTTTTAAAGTGTTACCAACATTCTACACAGGAAACAGTAATAAAATCTATTGATTTGTCATAGTCTAAATAAAGGGTGGATAAATTGATTGATATCATGTTTTATATACCAATTCTTGATGACCTACGCAAGAGTTCTTTAAAAATGTATATGAAAGCTAGGAACTTTAACGATGTCCTTAAAATAAACTTTACAAAGTCACAAGTCATCAGTCATTCTCCGTGGTAAACATATGGAAAATAATACAATCTGTTCCATGAAAGATTCTCGGAATTCGATTTTTATATAATTATGCTATAAATTGCGCATGTGCTGTTCCAGACATTGCCTTATACAACTTTGGATAAAATAATAATTAATAATTTTATAGAATACACTGTATATATATAAAATAATATAATTTTAAAAAAGATAATACAAGCACCTCGGGCAATGAAGTGAATAGGGGGACTCCCTTTTTTCCATCTGCTCATTGCGTATCAAATACAAAGCAAATGATCACGAACAAGGCTGTAATAATGAGGGCAATGTTTGAATGAAGAAAGGATCATGAAAGAAGTTGAACCTGACCCCACCTCTTTCTCTCTCTCCAAAATAGGATTTTGGAATTTGGACAATATTCTTTCCCCGTTTTTTTATTGTCAAGTTTTCTCAGATAAATTGATCCCCCTGTCACTGTCAAGGACATACATCAGATACATGTACGTTGTAACATGACCCCACCCCCTTCTTATGTTTGAGGACATATGCAACGTACCTTACCTACTGAGAGATTTTCAAGACATTCTTAATTTAAGATTGTCGTGTCATCAGATGTTGACAGACAAAAAAATCAGCATGCATTTCCAGGGGCTTTTGAAAAGATATCAATTGATAAAATTTTTGTAAAAATCCAAGAAAAATCTCTGTGCTTTGATTGTGTACAACAGCACAGATAAATTTCACAGCAAAACTTTTGGACGGTGTACATCTTTCATTAACAAAAGAGAAAATGGCAGGGCGGACCTTAAAATGCAGTTATCAGAAAAGGTCCGCCCTCTGTATATCAGATATTTTTCTATTGCACAGCCAAAATTAAGGACGGGGTACATTTTTTTCTCTCTCACATCAACAAGGAGAAAATGGCAGGGCGGACCTTAAAACGCAGTTATCAGAAAAGGTCCGCCCTCTTTTTTTTTCTTATATCTTCATGTTTAAAAATCGAATTTTTAGATATGCTTCTTAAACTGAAGCATAAAAAATAAAAAAGGGAATAGGGGGGACCTTAAAAGGGAGCTATCAGAAAAGGTCCGCCTTCGGTATTTCAGCTATCTTCATGTTTCAAAAAGGGATTTTTTTTTTTTAGATATGGTTCTTTACTGTAGGATAAATAATTGCCAAAAAAAACAAAAAACAAACGCAGATGTCAGAAAAGATCTGCCCTCTTTTTTCCGGATATCTTCATGTTTAAAAAGGAATTTTTAGATATGCTTCTTTACTTAAGCATAAAAAGAATTAAAAGGGAATAGGGCGGACCTTAAAATACAGTTATCAGAAAAGGTCCGCCTCTATATTTTAGTTATCTTCCTATGTTCTAAAGGAAACGTTTTGGACAGGGTTTATTTTCCCTTATTTAAAAAAAAGAAAAAGGGACAGGGCGGACCTTAAAACGCTGTT